GAAGGCAGGAGAGAAGGTTTTTGAGGATGGTGTGTGTAATCGGTCACTATTTACTGTGTGAGTTCCACTGGAGACAAGCACACTTTCTCCAATCCCAGAGTCTATACCTGACCGGGAACTTTTCATTCTGGATTCTGATTGAGGGAAAATACTGATATCCAATGGGCTATAAGGAGGACCTTTCAGTTTCTGTAACAGCATCTAAAAGAAATAGAATGTTCCTTCAACACTTTTCAGGCAAAATATTACAATGGTAACAACAATAAAGCTCCTAAGAGTCTATAGCAAACATGTTTAACAGAAATGATCTAGAATGTAAGCAATCTTATGAAAGGCAAGTAGCTCAGTGATTTTAGCAGCACTTACCTGAGTTCTATGCAGGTCCTGGAAAGGCACCTGCCCACTGGCTAATTCACATGCTGTAATACCAACACTGTAAATATCTGACTTCACATTATAGCCATGTAAATCCTGTAGGATACAATTAATTTGAAATCTTTTAGTGCAAGTAAGTTAACCAAAAGTTATACACATGTGCTTTTCTGATAAGGATGGTGAACAATAATGGAAAAAAAAAAAACCCATAAGCGACAAATCAAGACACATTTAATATATGGTATATAGATTCCTAACATAATTTTAACAAGAAAGAGAAAAAGTCTTGCAGAAGGCCATTTACCAATCCAAATATAAAGACACAACTGTCCTTTAGTCAAACTCAGAAGACACTCGAGACACAGACAACCCAATTCAACAGCCACACCTGACCTGTCTCAGTAGTTCTGGGCTCAGCCACGGCTGCACTGATGTGCTGAACTGTGGGAAATCATACACAGCCCTATGCCTCTGTCCATGCTTAACCAAACTATGCAGATGGGACAGGCCAGAGAGTGTCACTAGGCCATCACCAGAAATGAGGATATGGCTGGCTTTAATACTCCTAGAACAAAAAGAAACAATCCTAAGTACTAGGAAACTGGCCAATGAAGAAAACATAAAAATCTGCCAGGAACAAATCCACGCATTCTCTTGGAAATTAAATACCCTTTATAAAACAGCATTATAAACTGCAAAACTGCAGTTTATAATGGAAATTTATACAGGAAATATTCAGGGAATAGGAATTCGTTCAGCTACTTACTACAGCACCAACACAAGTAAAGATATAATTGAAAGCTACAAGTTAAGAATTGATAATATTTTTCAAACAGGGAATGGAATCAAATAATTAATTTCACTTTTTATTCTAGATGAAGTCTCACTCTGTGGCCCAGGCTGGAGAGCAGTGGCACAATCTCAGCTCACTGCAACCTCCACCTCCTGGGTTCAAGTGATTCTCATGCCTCAGCCTCCTGGGTAGCTGGGACTACAGGTGCATGCCACCATGCCTGGCTAATTTTGTTTTTTGTATATTTAGTAGAGACAGGATTTCACAATCTTAGCCAGGCTAGTCTCGAACTCCTGACCTCAAGTGATGCACCCACCTTGGCCTCCCAAAGCACTGGGATTACAGGCATGAGCTACCATGCCTGGCCAATTTCACTATTTTTGAATGCTGTTGCAAAACACCTAAGAAATCATCTAAAAAAAAAAAATCAAACAATATTTGAAGTATAAGGTTATAAAGTTAAATGTAATACTACCCAATAAAAGTCTCTCACACATCATTTATCAAGGTCAAGAAATTGAGACCATCCTGGCCAACATGGTGAAACCCCATCTCTACTACAAATACAAAAATTAGCCAGCTAATTTTTGTGCCCAACTGTAGTCCTAGCTATTCAGGAGGCTGAGGCAGGAGAATTGCTTGAACCTGGGGGGCAGAGGCTGTGGTGAGTGGAGATCACGCCACTGCACTGCAGCCTGGTGACAGAGCAAGGCTCCGTCTCAAAATGTGTATGTGTATATATACATATGTGTATACACACACACACACGCACGCATACATATCTATCCTATAAATTTCCTTTAACTGTCAGATAAATTATAAGAGCCTTGTTTTTCCATCCCAAACACAATTTGGAAATGTAACAGAGAAAGATGGCCAATCATCTGGTGGCATATAATAAAACCTCAGTTAACCAGAAACTTGTTGTGTTGGAAATCCTTGGTTAACTAGAATTTTGCTAAAAAATAATAGTAAGACAAAAAGCTTTAAGGAGACTGAAACAAACAATAGGAAAGCAAGCTTATTTAAAAGTAACTTAATTAAAAAGTAAGACAAAGTCCCAGTATATCTTAGAACTGCACTGTTTTTAGCATTCAGTCAATCACTTTTGCATATATACTTTAGTAACAAGAGAAGTGATATTTAGGATGATAATCTCGAGGTACTGTAAAATATTTAAGAAATCAAGGAAAAGTTTAATTACAACTTATGCATAATATAAATATAAGCTGAAAAACAGATAATGAAGCTCTTTATTTGCTTAAACAAAATCAAAACCAAAAACACCCAGCTAACTAGGATCCCAATTCCCACAGCTCATCCTCTGAGCATCTTCATTAGATTAAGACTGTGAACTACATGAGGGTAGGCACTCCACCCTAGCACCAAGTACACTTGGCACAGAGGATGTGGTCTGAACATGATTGGTGAATGGATAAACAATCCACAGCACCTAATCCTCCCTCGATTTTCACTTAAAAGTTTCCTTTTCCTCTTTTCTGACATTCAATTGCTCTTTCCTAAAACCTACTCCAAAGAGTTCTTCCATTAAAATGGTTTCAATTAGTAAAATGCAAATAAGTAAATACCTGTGAATACAGCCGTTTTGGTGTAGATAGTTCAACCCTCTCACTGCTCCAAAGAGAATGTTTCTTATTAAAGTTTCACTCATTCCTTCAGGAAAATAGGTCCTCAAGAGTTGACTTGCTGAACCTGAAAGAAACCCCTAAAATCTTCAGAGGAACACTGAAAGCGATTTTGCCACCAGCTTCTTTTCAACCATAAACACAAACATATCTGTTACTTTTTGGAGTCTAACCCAAACAACACTTTCCCACACAAATGTGATTTTCTTTCAAGAAGAATCTTTATTTTATTTTATTTTATTTTTTGAGACAGGGTCTCACTCTGTCACCTAGGCTAGAGTGCAGTGGCACAATCTTGGCTCACTGCAACCTCTGCCTCCTAGGTTCAAGCAATTCTCCTGCCTCAGCCTCCTGAGTAGCTGGGCTACAGGCACAGGCCACCATGCCCAGCTACTTTTTGTATTTTTAGTAGAGACGGGGTTTCACCATATTGACCAGGCTGGTCTCAAACTCTTGACCTTCTGATCCACCTGCCTTGGGCTCCCAAAGTGCTGGGATTACAGGCATGAGCCACCGCACCTGGCTCAAGAATCTTTAAGCAATTTTTTTTTCTAATGACATTCTAGAGATTAGGAAAGAGAATTAATGATTTTTCAATATTATTGAATAAAAATACATACTTTGTGTGCATATACAGATAGATACTTAAATCCAGAAGCAATTCACAAAAGCTGCCCTAAAAATCAAAGCTCTAGAATCCATTCAATATTTATTCAACACAATTATTGTGCTAAGTACTATGTGAGCACCTGGGGAACACCACAAATAAAAAATATATAAATGATCCTGGCCCTCAAGAAGCACAAGCCCAGTAAGGGAGATGGGCACACACAGATGTTTCTAATACAGTGAAATCAGTTTACAATGCAGTGAAACAGGGACAGGGATGAGGTACACAGGTGGGAAAAAACTTCTTCCTGCAAAGTAACAGTAGGTCTCCACTGAAATAAGGGAAGGAAGCTGAAGGGAAAAGACAGCTTGTGCAAAGGCACATTATACTTGGAGAAGCAGTGATGGTTCATTGATCATCATCCCAATTCTTTTCTTCTGAAGACTAAAATTCAGCATGTACCAGAAATAGAAATACACCATGAAATCTAAAATCAGTCATTAGACTTACAGACTTATAAATTAAATGTGGCAAGTTATAAATCCAAAATCCCAATTCAACTGTATAATTATAACATCTAGGCTAAATTAATTTATTTAAAACCAGCATTTTTTTTTTTTTTTTTTTTGAGGAGTGCAATGGCACAATCTCAGCTCACTGCAACCTCCACCTCCTGGGTTCAAGCGATTCTCCTGCCTCAGCCTCCTGAGTAGCTGGGATTACAGGTACATACCACTGTGCCCAGCTAATTTTTGTATTTTTAGTAGAGACAGGGTTTCACCCTAAAGCCAGCATTCTTACCATAGGCCATAAATGGAGAAATAACCCAAAGCCAGCTGCCAACAGTGAAAACTGTCCAGTAAGTTGTAATATTGGGATGCCGGAAAAAGTGAGATAGAATCACGGCTTTCTAGGATAAACACACAAAAGACAAGACATTTAAAAACAACCTTTTTTTCCTTACGATGAAAATAGCAGTCATGGCAGCTAATACTCAAGGGAGCTTAATAGTGAAAGTGCTGTTCTTAGAGCTTTCATCTGTTTAAATCTCACAACCACTCCACAAGTATGTGATATTATGATTCCCATTTTTCAGAAGACAACACTTAAAAATAAGTTAGAAAACCTGTCCAAAAGCATGTATTCATTCATAAAAAGAAGTGGAGGTAGAATGTGAACTTAGTTTCCCTCTAGGGTCATACTCTTAATAACTGTACTATGTTCTTATTATTAAAAAAAATTTTTTTAAACACATAAAAATATGAAAATAAAAATCCTTTCTATCACTGCCTCACAGAGAGCCACTGTTAATATTTTGGTATAGTTTCTCCCAGTCTTTTTTTGTTTGTGCAATATACATGTGCACATATAAATATTTTAAGAATTGGAACAACATCCAAACAAAATCCTTTCCCCTTTTATATCAAAAATGATTAGTGACAATAAAAATGGTATTATAAAATATCTGATATGCAATTCTGTCAAAATTTGTCATTCAGAAATTAATCTTGCTTAACTGGATGAAGAGGAAACTGTTTGCTTTTGATATCTTCGATTTCCCTGTGACTATTTATGATTGGACTGACTACGGGTATTATAAAACTCCAGACTAGCATTTTGAATATGATAGTCATTTGAAAGAGCAGTAGTAATCAAAGTTTGAATGTATCCATTCTTTCATATAATGAATCTGGCTTCCAAGAGTTCTTTCCAAATTTGTAACTGCATGTTAATTAGAAGAAATCTACATTTCCCTAACAGAAGAACCATTAGTTTGGGTGAGAAAATTCTTACAGATGTAATCTCCTCAAATAAACATTATATTAAATACAATCATCCCTTAGTCTCCATGGAGGATTGGTTCCAGGACTGCATCCCCTGACAGTCTCCTATACACCATCCCATGAATGTACTAAAATCTATGAATGCTCAAGTCCCTGTATAAAATGGCGTAATATTTGCATATAACCTATACACATCCTCCTATATACTTTAAATCATTTCTAGGTTACTTATGTCTAATACAATGTAAATGCTATATAAGTAGTTATGCTGTGTTTTATTTGTACTATTTTTTACTGTATTATTTATTTTTAAAAATATGTTTTCTATTCACAGTAGGTTGAATCTGCAGATGTGGAACCAGTGGATACAGAGGGCCAAGTATGTATCATTTTCTTCATATTGTTACCTGTAAAGCTTTCAGGCGTTCTTCATTACAGTTTTCCAGATTTGTAATTTTTATAGTTACCAGTGTTCCCGTAGGAGTATGCCGTGCAAGATGGACAGAAGTCAAGTTGTCAAATCCTCTTCCTATAATCAGACAGAAAACTCATGTTAGTAACTAAAGAAGAAAAAAAATATTGTAAATTTGGACTTCATCAAAATGGAAAAGTTTTGCTCTTCAAAAAATACAGTTAAGAAAATGAAAAGGCATGCTACTGATTCAAAGTATTAATAATACTTATCAGATAATCCAATTAAAAAACAGAGGCAGAGGATTAAACAGGCAATTCGCAAAATAAGATATAGGAATGGCCAATAAGCATAAGTTGCTCAAGATAGAGAAATGCAAATTAAAACAGTGACACACCATTACATATCTATTATAATAACTAAAATTGTGACTTGATAAACCAATTGCAATACACTCACACAATGGAATGCTATTCAGCAATCCCGTCCCCACTCCTAGTCCCTGGCAACCATCGATCTGATTTTTGTCACATAAATGGTATTAAAAAGAATACAGTCATCAGCTTCTTTTGTGTTTAGCTTCTTTCACTTAGCATATGATTCTGAGACTCATCCACATTGTGGTATGTATCAGCAGTTAATTTCTATTGCTGAGTAATTTAATCCATTTATAATGTGAACGGTTATTTAGGTTGTTTTCAGTTTGGTGACTATAAAGCTGCCAAAAACATTCCTGTACAGGCTTTTAAGTAGACATATGTTTTCACTTATCTTTGGCAAATATCTGAGAGATTGTTGGGTCATGTGGTAAACATATGTTTAACATTATAAGAAGTTGCCAATTTGTTTTCAAATGTGGCTGAATCATTTCACATTCCCACAAATAATGTAGAAGAACTGCCACTGCCTGACATATTCACCGGCATTTGGTATCGTCAGCTTTTTAAACGTAAAACACCTAGAGTGGCACCTACTAATAGCCACCTAATAAACGTTAGTTCCCTCCCTCTCTCCATGGTCACCAAATTTTGTCAGTTTTATTTTTGAAATGAAGTTAATCTCAAATTCATCTCCTCCCCACAGTGTCAGAGTCACTGACTTAGTTTGAGCCCCGTCCTCTCGTCCTGGATGTATGCAGTGACTCCCTCATATGCCCTGCATTCTCAGCCATAGCACATGCCAGAATTACTGAGGGAACTACTTCAAAATGCCTCTGCCTTGGCCCCACTCCCCAGAAACCTTGGTTCAGTAGCTCTGTGATGGAATATAGGTGCAGTAAAAAGACACAGGTAATGAAGATGATACTTCCAGTTTTGCATTGCTGATCTACTATATCTTCCTGACCGTTGCCTGAGTTGTTTTAAATTTGGCATTTTATCAACAGCAGATCCTACAGTGTGACAGCTGAGAGCTTAGATCCTACAGTCAGAAAGATCTGGTTTCAAATCACTAACTGTATGACTCAACACCTTGGTGTCCTCATCTACAAAATGGGAGTAGTAAAGTGTTAAAGGAAAAAAAATGCATAGTAAATGTTCACCGTAATGCCTGTTAGATGCTATTAGTGTCATCATGATTCCCCAAAGTCTCTCTAGCAGAAGGACAATACATTCCAAATTTCCAACTTAAATCCTCTGAGTCATAAGGAGGGTAGGTTGTGGAAGTCATTCTAAATCCACTACATGAAGTCCTTCACAACGTGTTCCAAACCTGCCTTTCCAGATTCATCTCCTACCTCTGCCAACTCTCCCCTTGTTCCCACTTGTAGTCACAGAGGAACTATATGGTATGCTCCCTCTAACTATCCTTCCTCAGTCATTTACTGAGGTAAACATCTTTTTACCTTTTTAGAATTGGCACCATCTGAAACTCCTTTCTAATTTTGGGTCATTTGCCACTATGTGCTATTTCAGAAAAGGTCAGATCCTTACACTCCCTTAGTCTTCTTGACCCTGGCATGTGACCTATGTTTGGCCAACTGGAGCATGGAGTGAAGGACAAAGCAGCAGCAGTTGTCAGAGCTCCCTGCAGTGGGCCAGCGTCTGGCGGTGGGCAGTATATTCACTAGGCTGCTCCTATTTCACAGTCCTAGTCCTCATCACACAGCTTCTCCTGGCTTTTTCAGCCAATAATTTTGTGAAATTCCTTTTTCACTTAAGTTAGCCAGGATTGTTTATGTTGTCTCTAACAAAACCTATGACTAGAATACCTAGCAAACTCTTCCTCCTTCAAGATCCAGCCCCTTTTTGCCATCTCTCTTATCTCCCAGTAGTGGTTCATTAGATGCTCCATCTTCTCCGTTCCCATAATACTTAGGACATACCTCTACTACAGTACCCTCCAGTGCATGAAACAAAGCTATATTGTGTCTTTATCTTCCCAGAGATGATGTAAACTCCAAGCATTCTACCATGCTTTGTCTTCCTAGCACTACACAATCACCAGTGTGTAGTGTTTAATAGATGTTTCTGAATATCCAGAGCAAATGTTTCACATATGTAAAGCTATAAACAATAACCCATCCTATTCCACACTTAACTGAAAAGCTTTCCACTACAAATGAGATTTTAGGTAAAATTTTAAACTAAGAAGCAATTTAGCGAAAGGATTGTGACTAAAAATATTTACATGACTTGATTTTACTTCATACATGGTAAAAATTATACCCATAAAATCGATGTTTCCCACCATAAACACACAAATAAGTATTTAGTGTCTTCCTCATCTAAATGTACTTCAATGAAAAAGTAAAAATTCTAGACAGCAATCTTGAAAAAGTCTGAGTCATTATTTTAAGATAGTCAATAAATTAATTGAATCCACTTGACTGACACAATTAACATCTAGTTTTATGCTGGAGGTAACAACAGAAAAAGACTTGCCTACAAAATAATCTTTTTGTCATCAATTTAATTTCTAGCACTGAAGGGTCAATTAGAAATCCAGGATTATTACCTATTTCTACTTGGAGCTCATAGTGAGAAACGTTGGTGGAACATGCTACTTCACTGGCTCTCGTGGTTGCAGGTGACCAGGAAAGGGTTGGCTCATCGACCTGCATTTGTTTTTAAAGATAAAAACAAATTAGACGAACTTTTTGTCCCCCTACCCCAATACAAAACACTCATATTTTCAAACACACAAGTGCTCATTAGGAAGGTACTACAAGGTGGCTTAAGTGACTGTTTTAAGATCTAAAAGGAACTCACCAATTTCTCATTGATGTTAGCTAGAAAGCTGTTAGCCTATGAAGAGGGCAGGAAAAGCAGATGTACAGCCAGCAAGGAATGCTTTCCAGTGTAATTTTCAGTAAAATGTTTAGGAGTTGCTAAGAATGTTAATTCTTCAGGATAGCTGACAAATGTATCAAGCAAAGGACTGCAGGGACCTGTGAGGGATAGTCTATGCTTGTACTCTTGCTTCAAGCCACATCCATATTTTGCAAAAGATACATGCTCTGCTAGATGATATATTAACAGTCACGGAACAATTTCCAGACTGCAGCCTATTAGAAGTGCTGAAGCTTTTTGCAAGATGAATCAGATGGAAGGTCAGAAAGAAAAATCAAAGGAGATAGACCTCCTAAGTGAATGACCAAGAACTCATAGGAGGTCTCATGGTGTGCTCTGGAGTGAGAATGAGGTTTGCACCTGAATACAGTGATAGTGAAATAACATGAATGCATGATAAAGAAGAAGCCTAAACTGGCTTCATATGACAGCCATGAGGGTCTCCTAAATGACGTAAGTACTCCAAAGGACACTTAGGAGCCTCACAGGCGGCAGGAATTCTTGTTACTGCCGTCAAGATGGAGGGGAAGGAAGAAAGAGGAAAAATCATATTACTATGTGCTAGGTATTATGTTAACCACTTTTCACATTCTTGAATCTTTTTAATCAAGAGACAAAGATGGAGTTTGAAACAGTGACACGATTAAATGTTCCCGAAACTTTTAAGAGAGCAGGAAAAAAGGAATTATAAACCCATGGCTAAAGATGAATAAAGGTGACTACTGCTCAAGAGGAATGAAAGAATGTAAAAAGAAATTCTACTATACAATTGGAAATAATCCTGATGAGAAACCAAAATAAAGAAATTTAGTTTCTTTTTTTTCTGCCTCTTTACAATCTGGTGGAAGCAATTTAGTTTCTTTAAAACAGGTAGTCTTCAGATAAACTCAGATTTAAAGACTATATAAAAGAGATAGAAAGAACATATAACAGCTTAAAAATGTTTTAAGTGATATCAACCTGTAAGCCTGTCAGGAAGGCTAGAGAGATGTAATAAACTAAGGTTTATAGTTCACTACTTGAAAATAATGGCATAATGTTACTGGGTGATGGACTAAAATCAGAACTAATCAGCCTCTATTTTGCTTCCATCTGTTCCATTAGGGAATTAGTCTTATTTAAACTAGAAGGGACACATATGTTGTAAATAAGTATTCAAAGCTCTAAACAGGCTGTTTTAAATAGGTTGAAACCTACAGGCCCAGGGCAATTACATTTAGGATATTAAGTTTGCAAATACAGTAGAACTCAGATGAAAAACCACAATAGAAGTAGCAAACCATGACCCAATTTTCCAAAAGAGAGAAAACTACAAAGGGGCAAGCTTGCTGCTGCTAACCAATAAAGTCAGAGATCAAATTATTAGGTAGGTGAATTATGGACACATGGTAATCACAAGAAAACAACACAGGTTTACTAAGAATAAATCATCTTACACTAACCTCACTTCTCTTTTTCATCTGATGACCAGTTAGATGATAGAAAGCAAAAATTATGGCAAAGTCCCTGCCTTGGTTCTGTTAAACTTTTTAATGACTTCCTGAAAATGAAAAAGGCTGGCTTGAAAAAAGAAAAAGTATGGATCATGCACTGCTGGGCATAGCTAATTACCACCCCCCCACCCCCCCACCCCCCCCCCCCCCCCCCCCCCCCCCCCCCCCCCCCGCAAAAAAGAAAAAAAGGCAGGACTCACAATCTTCCTGAGCAGCTAGAAGAATGGGCCCAGATCAGTAAAATTTTACGAGGATAAATGCAAAACCTTACACTTAAGTTTTGTTTAAAAAAAAAAAATCAATGATATAAATACAAAATTGGGAATACCAGGTTTATGACTTGGAGGTTTCAATCAATGGCATGAGAGAGATTGTTAGATAAAAGCACAATATCGAGCTACATTTACAGAAGCAAAATTAAGCAGACTGGAAGAGATAAGAGTCTCACTGTATTCTGAAATGATTGGTATCTGGAGCACCATGGATAATTGAGACACCACAATTTAAGAGGGAATTGTAAAATGGTGATGCCTACAGACGACCAATCAAGTTGGTGAAGGTTCCAGGAACAACAAAGGAATTAGAAATACTTAATCTGGAGAAAAAATATTAAGAACATATATAGTTGCCATTTGTAAGTGACTAAAAGACTAATATACAAGGGTAAACAATTGTTCTGTGAGAAGAGCCGAGATCAACAGATAGAAGCTCCAGGAAGTCACTTTCAGTTCAGCCTAAGAAATATGGAGTAACTGGTGCCATCCAAGTGTGACTCAGGCATCAAGCTGCCTCTTTCCATCACCCTCTCTCCATTGATATATTTCAGAGGTTAGGTGACCACCATTGACAGCAGTGGAGCTACAGGGAGGTACAAGAACTGGAAGTGAAGAGGGAATGGTCAGCAATTGGAAGGCTAGAAAAAGAAAAGTTTTGATGCCCACAAATGTCTGCTTGCAGCAAAAGGAAGTCCTGTGATATGAATTTCAAGTACTTTGACAGCTGTCATTACTTCTCCATTATATATTAAACTGCTTCTAATTATGATTTGGTTTCCCATGCAACTTTTCTATGAGGAAAGAGTGGACCGATGATATGATGTAAAGGCATCTTTTTCTCTGGCACTGGGGGACTGGGTTTATAATGAGCTTGATTAATGTGAATCTGATACTAAAATATGGATCCGATATTGAAATATGGATCCACTCTAGGTTTGCCTACTAAATCCAGTTTCTGATCCTAAGAGGCTGAGAAACAGATCCTACATCATGGTTCAATAATCAACCCAATGAAGTGTTTTCAGAGAAATTCTGCCAGACTTTTACTTGTGGTAAAATATACCTTTCTGTATGTTTCTATTTTTCTATGATGAAGCTCTTTTTATTTAAATTTCTACAATGAACTCTCAGATATAGAGAACGCTCCCGATATAAGTTGAAAATTAGATTAGATGGTCTCTCATGAATCCCTGTAATGTTAAAATTGCATAATTTTGAAAAGCAGCATCTCAGCTCAAACATCACAGCCTTTCATTTGCAAAGGAATTTTCCTATACATAGAGGGGTTTCCAAAGTTACAGGAGACATAAATGACTTGGAAAACCAGACTATCCTCCAAACACGATATTTTAACATAAAAATCCTATCTATAAAGTCCAGGTCAATGGAGAACAAGTTGTCCAAAGAAAAGACAACAGATGGTGTTTTACAGCATGACCCAGAGAGCACACAGAAAAGTTTTTCGAGTCATCAGGCACCAGTTCCCAGCTGGTGTCAACTTACAGTATACAACTTTTCCAATTCATTTCTCCACATGAACATACAGATTAATGCTACTGCTTCTCTCACTCAAGATTTTAATCTAACTCTACTAACAGAGAGAGATGTGACATTTCAATCCTTAAATAATAAAATGGCAAACCTGGAGGTTTGTAGGATTCAGGTGGCACCCGTGAACACTTGCTTAGTTCTTGGCCTCTCTCTCAGTAACAGCATGGAGACGAGTCACTTTACTTTCTGCTTCACCCAAAGGGTATTACCTGAATTAAAACTCAGACTGGGAGGTAGGTGGGCAAAGGTGGCTAAATAGAACCCTCCAGCAATCTTCCCTCACCCTTCAGGAACACCAAATTGAACAACTAACCACACAAGAAAGCACCTTTGTAAGAATAAAAACTCAGGTGAGTGATCAGTACCTGGTTTTAACTTCCTATCACTGAAAGAAGCACTGAACAGGTTAGGAAACACATTCTTGAAGGGCTGATGCCTCCCCCAAGGAGGGAGGGCGCAGTGATTGAGGGACTTTGCAGTGGAACTCAGTGCTGCCTATCACAGCAGAAAGCAACACAGAAGAATTAGCCAGGGCCCAAGGCAGGAGCATTTAGCTCGGCCTTAACCAGAGGGGAATCACCCATCCCAACAGTTGGAACCTGAATTCCAACAAGCTTGTCTGCCACCACAGGCTGAAGTCCTCTGGAGTCCTAAATAAACTTGAAAGGTAGTCTCCACCACAAGGACTGCAATTCCAGGGCAATTCCTGGTGCTATACTGGGCTCGAAACCAGTGAACTCGGAGGGCCCATGACCTAGTGAGACACCAGCCAGGGTGGCCAAGGGAGTACTTATGTCACCCCTCTTCCAACCCCAGGCACTGCAACTTGCAGCTTCTGGAGATTCCTTCCTTCACCTTAAGGAGAGGAGAGGAAAGATAAGAATAAAGAGAACTTTATCTTGCAACTTGGATACTAGCTCAGCCACAGAAGAACAGGGCACCAGGCACTGAGGCCCCCATTTTAAGCCCTAGCTCCTGAACAACATTTCTAGACACACTGTGTGCCAGAAGGAAAACTGCTCCCATGAAGGGAAGGACCTTGTTCTGGCAGGATCCAGAACTGATTTATTCAAGCCCTTGGGCCTCAAATAAACATCAACAGTAGCCAGGCAGTACTTGCTGTGGGCCTTGGGTGAAACTCAGGGCCATGCTGGCTTCAGGTGTGAACCAGCACATGCCCACCTGTGGTGGTCACAGGAAAGAGGCTCCTTCTGTCTGAGTAGAGGAGAGGAGAGAGTAAAAGGGGCTTGGTTTTGCAGCTTGGATACCAGTTAAGCCACAATAGGCTAGAGCACCAAGCAGACTCCTGGGGTCCCTGATTCCAGGCCTTGGCTCCTGGATAGCATTTCTGGACTTGTCCTGGGCCAAAGGGTAGCCCACTGCCCTGAGGGAGAAACCCAGACCTGGCAACATTCACCACAAGCTAAGTGAAGAGCTCTTGGGTCT